AATCTCGGGGGCATCGCTGATATTGAAGAGTCTAGACTCCAAAAAGTTTGTGCAAAAACCTTTCCCCCCGAGCGCGGATCCCAAGCCGATACCTAAGAAGTTACGCATGCCCGAGATTTCTGAATACAATGGAACGACTGATCTGAATGAGCATGTCACCTCTTACACGTGCTATCAAAGGGATTGATCTAGAGGATGATGAGACCGAATCTGTCTTGCTAAAGAAATTCGGAGAGACCATGTCAAAGGGAGCTATGATATAGTACCCCAATTTGCCACCTAATTCTATTGATTCATTTGCTATGCTTGCAGATTATTTCGTAAAGGCACACGACAGGGCAATCAAGGTTGAAACTAGGAAGTCGGGCCTTTTCAAGGTAAGGCAGAAGGACAACAAAATGCTCAGAGAATTCGTGTCTCGATTCGAAATGGAACAGATGGACCTGCCACTGGTCACTGATGATTGGGTTGTTCAAGCTTTCACCCAATGACTCAATGTTCGAAGCTTGGTGGATTCACAGCAGTTAAAGCAGAATCTGAGAGAATACCCGGCTGTTACTTGGGCCGATGTGCATAATCGGTGTCAATCGAAGATTAGGGGCAAAGACGATCAACTTGGGGCTTCTTCCAGCTCCATTTATCCTATCAGACCCGTCAATAGAATCAAGAGGGATATAAATCGAGAACTGAGGTCTAACAAATATCGATACCAACCATATAGTGGAGATCGTAGAAGCAGTGAATCTGGGCAAAATTCTGCACAAAATAAAAGGAGAAGTGATCGAGGCCAGAGCTCTCGAGGGCTCATGAACAAGAACAACTTTGACAGGCCTATCAGACCTAAAGAAATATTATGATTATCAGAATACAACTTTAATGTTGATACAGTTGTCATCATATCGGCTATCGGACGCATCAATGATACCAAATGGCCTCAACCTTAACAAATCGATCCATCCCAAAGAGATCCCAACCAAATGTGAAAATATCAGGGCACTCATGGCCATAAAATGAAGGATTGTCGACAATTGTGCGAAGAAGTAGCCCAGTTATTCAATAACGGGCATATTAGGGAATTTCTAAGTGATCGAGCCAAGAATCATTTCAGAAATAGGGATTCCAATAAACAAAACGAGCAAGAAGAACCTCAACACGTCATTCATAAGATCATCGACGGGGTCGATGTTCCTCAAGTCCAATGTTAAAGCTCACTAAAGTATCAATCACGAGAGAAAAACGGACTCGAGATTACATACGAAAAGGAACTTTATCTTCCAATAACAGAAGGAATTATGCAGCCCCATAATGATGCACTAGTAATATCTGTAATCGTGAATAAAACTCGAGTTAAACGTGTGTTAATTAATCCAGGTAGCTTGGCCAACATCATTCGATTGAGGGTCGTAGAGCAACTCGGCCTACAGGACCAAATCGTGCCTATGTCCAGAGTGCTAAATTGATTCAACATGGATTGTGAAACTACTAAGGGAGAAATAACGTTACCGTTAAATGTATCCGGAACCACCCAGGAGGCTAAGTTTTATGTGATCGAGGGGGACATGAGGTACAACGTCCTGTTCGGGAGACCATGGATCCACAACATGAAGACTGTGCCCTTGACCCTTCACCAGGTATTAAAATGCCCAACACCATAGGGGATTAAAATGGTCTACGGGGAGCAACCCGGTACGAAGGATATGTTTGCCGTTGATAAAGTAATTCCGATATCAACACTCTCATTGATAAAGAATCCAGGTTCCAAAGCAAAATAGGAAGCCAAATAGCAATCACCAATGCCGGCCAAACCGGACAAGCATGGGACTGATGAAGACGACGATTACGGGGTTCCTCGATCCTTTATAGCCCCCGATGATTCTGACGCCACCAAATCAACGGCTGAAGAGCTGGCGCAGGTCATACTGATCGAAGATCTGCCCGATCGAAAGGTATACCTAGGCACGGGGTTAACTCCCAAGCTCAAGAAAAAACGCATTCAATTTCTTATAGCTAACATGGATTATTTTGCTTGGTCCCATCTCGACATGACAGGGATCCCACCGGAGATAACTACTCACAAGCTAAGCCTGGACTCGAAATTCCATCCGGTCAAGTAGAAAAGGAAACCCCAGTCCGAGATCAAACATGTTTTCATCAATGACGAGATAACTAAACTCCTTAAAATAGGGTCCATCCGGTAGTCAAATACCCGAAATGGTTAGCAAACGTAGTAGTAGTCCCTAAAAAGGGGAACAAACTGAGAATGTGTGTGGATTATAAAGATTTTAATAAGGCATGCTTTCCCTTTGCCTAACATCGATTGCATGATCGATGCCACGGCCGACCACGAGATCATTAATTTTCTCGATGCCTACTCCGTGTACAACCAAATACGGATGAATCCAGATGATCAAGAAAAGACCTCCTTTATCACTAAGTATGACACATACTGCTATAACGTAATGCCATTTGGATTAAAAAATGTTGGTGCTACTTACCAATGCCTAGTAAACCAATTGTTCGAAGAACAAGTAGGCAAATGCATGGAAGTTTACATTGACGATATGTTAGTTAAGTCCCTGCGAGCAGAGGACCATTTAAATAATTTGCAAGAAAGTATATTGAAGAAGTACAACAAGAAGCTAAATCCAGAAAAATGTGCGTTCGGAGTCGGATCAGGTAAATTTCTCGGGTTCATGGTGTCCAACCAAGGAATCGAGATAAAACCATACAAGATCAAATCTATCGAGGATATAATGATAATGGATAACGTGAAGGTCGTACAAAGGCTAACCGGGCGCATTGCTGCCCTGGGGCGATTCATCTCGAGGTCCTCCGATAAGAGCCATAAATTTTTCTCGTTACTGAAGAAGAAAAGAAACTTTACATAGACCCCGGAATGCCAACGGGCCTTGGAAGAACTTAAGTGATATTTATCGAGACCGCCACTTCTTCACACGCCGAGGGCAGATGGACGACTTTAATTGTATTTGGCAGTATTGGAAATAACGGTAAGTGAAGTGCTAGTTCGGGAAGAACAAGGTACGCAATTTCCAATTAATTATTTTAGCAGGACCTCAGGTGAGGCCGAAACTAGATATCCTCACCTAGAAAAAAAATTGGTGCTCGCTTTACTAAGTGCCTCTAGGAAACTGAAATCACATTTTCAGTGCCATCCTATATGTGTTGTGACAGCTTACCCATTATGAAATATAATGCATGTGAGCATGTGATTTTTGCCCTACTAGAAATACTCCTACAAAATTAAAGAAATTGATTTTTTCCAACTTATTTTCAATTTTACAGGATTTTTGTAGGATTTTATTAATTGTTTGTATTTTTTGTGCACGTTTAATTTTGTTAAAATCATGAAAAAATACCCCAAAATGTCAAAAATTTCAGGCATTGCATATTAGGTTTTGTGTTCATATTTTAGTATTAATTAATTAATTATTTTATTAAAATAAAAATCACAAAAAATATTGTTCATTTTATAGTTTTTAGCCTTAATATTAGATTAGTAATTTTCTCTCCATCAATTTAGGATTAATAAATTTATAAAAATTATAAATAGATAATTAGTTGATTCTATAGATTAGATTAATTTAAGATTTAATTTAGGACTTCAATTAATTTAGTTAAGTATTTAAAATTAAAAAAAAGAAAAAGAAAAGAAAGAAAACAAACAAAAGGAAATGAGTAAATATTTGGTCTGGGCCAATCTCTAACGGCCCAAATATCACAATCCACCCACGCCCATGTCCAGCCCAATTCCCTTTAAACCCCGGTCCACCCCCTAAAAGATGAAACGACGTCGTTTTATCTTCCCTTTACCCCATCCGTTGGATCATCTTGATCTAACGTTCCTGAACTGAAGCCCCTCCCCCTTTAAAAGTGTCTGAAGGAGACACACCTCCAAACCCCTAAAACTTCTTCAGTCTTTCATCTCCCACATCTCCAAAGAACCTTAGCCGCCGAAAATCGCCTTCTGGTGGCGCCGCCCTAAACACCTCCAATCCCACTCAAATTAACACCAAACAACCATAATAACCTCCTCATCCTATATCTATTACTGATTTCTCTAAAATCTTTACCCATTTGCTCTAATTTCAGATCTAAAATTCTGAATGAAAGCCAAAACCCTAACCCGTCCCTTTTTTGTATTTTTACAGTTTCAAAGGCTCGATTTGAGCCAAAGTTTTTGCCAATCAATTGTTCTTGACAATAACAATCGATTAGCATTAGTTTTGGTTTATTTCAAGACTTGCCGCTCCAACCAAGTACCTATTGGCCAGCCAAGCTCCGATGTGTGCATAGCTCATCGACCCGCCTCAGTTGCCTACTTAATTTTCAGTAAACTCAGTCGTTTGTTCTTCTTTCCCTTTTCTTTTCTGTTTTTCTCATGCATTATTATTTCTAGATTACCATTTTAGGTTTTAAGTTTTATCTTTCTTTTTATTGGGTTAGCTCTTTACTACTGCATTAAAATAAGGTTTAGTTCAGATTAATTGCATAATTCTCTAGTTAACAATACTGTTATTTAGTTAACCTCTCTTTGTTTGGTCCAGTTGAACCAACTTAACTAAATTAGTTTCTGTATTTAGATTACTTAAAATGCATGTTAGTAATTTATATTACAAGTTATTGTTTAATTAACCCTAAGGTTGTAATCACATTATGTGTCATGCAGTTTTGATTTGCTTGGTATGAGGTCTGATGTGTGTCCTTATTTGTTATTCAGAATTCAGTATAAACCTTAGTTGATAACAATTAGAAATTAGGAGGTTGAAAAGGTAATAACAAGAACCTAAAATGGGCCAATTGAGAAATAAAATAGAGGGTTGATATCAGAAGCTTCTAGAAGGGGTTAATGGGTAATCAAACAATCAGAATTCAGGTCAGATTGGTTTAAAATTGCAATAAGAAAAATTTAAAAGGGTAAAATTGAGATTTTAAAATGAGAAAATATCAAAAAGTTCTAGTATTGAATAGTTGTCCCCATTTTTAGCATGAAAATGCTGAAATTGGGTAGAAAAAAAGGACATACAGTCGTTAAAAGATGTTGTACTATCTAACATTTCAGAATTCTAGGGTAGAACAAGTGAATCTGAAAACAGAAATAGCTCCATGTTTTCCTAGCCCATGATCTCTGTTATTCAAAGTTGGTTGTGGTCAAATATTCTGGGGTATTGTTGTTGTTCTAGTTGTTGTTGTTAGTCTGAGTATTGCTGGCTTTCATTTGGTCATAAATTCATTTCCTTAAGTTGTCTTGAGGTAACCTACTACCAGTTCTATGATAGTTTTAGGTATATGATAACTTTTTATGAGTAAATAACAGTTATTATGTTAAAGAATCATGTTCATTTATTAGTAGATTCCCATTACTGGCATTTGATTGGTTTATGTTTGTAAGTGTGGTTAAGCATTTGAATTCCTGCCTATTCTTTGCAATTTTTCTGAAATAATGCTAAGAGCATCTGTGATGTTTTCATTTTTCTTTATGAACTTCAAGCTTTTCACTTATTTGTTGTGACAAGATATATATTTGTCCTGGTTCAGCTTTAGAGGACTGATTTTTTGCTTTGTTTTTCTTTCTTTTTTAATGTTGATTCACACTTGAAGGAAGATTAAAGAATGACTAAGGGATGAATCTGACCACCAGTTGTTCAGATCCATCTCTGTGAAGTGTTTGGTTCACAAACGCATAAATGGAAGAGCTTGAATATGTAGTTCTACTGTTGTTCGTTGCCAGTGTTGAAAGTAAAGTATAGGAGTTATTTTTGAATCTTATTTTGATGCATGTTGATAATTAATGGTTGTAATTGATAGAATAGCCTATTAACGTATTTCAAAATAGTCCAGAAAACTGGAATTTTAATGTTCTGATTAGTTTATTTAGTATAAGGCTGTGTTAATGTAATACTGATATGAGTTTGCTGGACATTCCGTTTTGCTTAAATTTTTCTTAACTGTTTAGCTGACCAAAAAATGAACTGGGCCAGGCACTTTAATAGGCCCAGTTTCCGTTCCCTCATGGAGAATGGAATTCTGCATTTTAGGCAGCTTGGCCTGGGTACTAATCCCAATAGCTTGGCCCCAACTATGAACTTATTTTCTGAAATTAACATAATTCTAATCTTTATTTAGGGTGTTAGAAATCAGAGTAGTATAGTTATTTTTAAAAAAACTTGAATGCAATAATTTTCCGGTCTTATTTTTGTGCAAATCCAGTTTGGCTTAGATAAATGTATGCTTTTATCATTTTGCTGCTGAAAGGCACTCGTCAGACCCAGTCTTATAAAAATCGTGACTGGGCTAGTTTTGCAAATGATCATTTAACCCATTTTATTTCCTTTTGAGTCCATAATAGTTAATACTAGATTACTCTCAAATAGTTAAATTTCTTATATCCTCACATGCTGCCATAAACCTTTTACAACAATCTCACAATAGCTTAGGAAATAATCTGAACATCGTAGTTTTTCTTTAGGCACGATTAATAAACCATCGTGACTATGGGTACAGTTCCTGTAATATAGTTATGATATCTAATTCCCAAATTCAGGTGTGCATTTCATGTGACCCGATCATAATAACTTTGAATAATAATAATAAAATAAATATATCGCAAATCGCGGGTGCATTTCATGTAGCGTGGACTCTACATAATAAATATCCCAAGTCGCGATCTAATTAAATAAAATAATCCCATTTCGATTTATGTCACTTTAATTGAAAAAACTCCCCTATCCCCCTCGGGTAAAAAGGAGGTGTGACAATGCATAAACCCGAACTCTCGGGGCGATTGGCCAAATGGGCCGTAGAAATCAGCGGGTACGATATCGAATATCAACCCCGGACAGCCATTAAGTCTCAAATTTTGGTAGATTTTGTGGCTAACTTTATGCCGACCCTAATACCCGAAGTCGAAAGAGAGTTGTTGGTAAACTCGGGGACATCTTCGGGAATCTGGACACTCTTTACGTACGGTGCCTCGAACGCAAATGGTTTCGGACTTGGCATCATACTGAAGCCACCTACAGGCAATATAGTTAGACAAACCATTAGAACTGTGAAATTGACTAACAACGAGGACGAATATGAGGCCATGATTGCAGGTCTCGAACTGGACAAAGGCTTGGGGGCGGAGGTGATCGAAGCTAAGTGTGACTTCCTCCTTGCGGTAAGCCAAGTTAATGGAACGTTCAAAGTCCGAGAAGAACGAATGCAAAGGTACCTAGATAAGTTACAGGTAATATTACGTCGGTTCAAAGAGTGGACTTTGCAGCACGTACCTCGAGATCAAAATAGTGAGGTCGATGTCCTTGCAAACTTAGGGTCGTTAGTTGAAGATGATGAGCTCAACTTGAGGGCAGTCGTACAACTCATGAGGTCGGTAGTAGAAGAAGGTCACACCAAAATAAACTCCACAAGCTTAACTTAGAATTGGAGAAATAAGTATGTAGAGTATTTAAAGATCGGAAAACTTCCCTCAGATCCAAAAATATCGAGGACCCTGCGCACAAAGGCAGCCCGATTCAGCTTGTCCGAGGATAGAACCTTGTTCAAAAGAATGTTTCTATGGCCTCTAGCAATATGTCTGGTACCGGGAGATATCGAGTATGTTCTGAGGAAAGTTCACGAGGGCACCTCCGGAAATCATTCAAGCACCAAATTGTTGGTTCAAAAGGTGATCAGAGCCGGCTGTTACTGGATTGACATGGAAAAAGATACGAAGGAGTTCGTACGAAAATGTGACAAGTGCCAAAGATATGCTCCGATGATTTACCAACCCGAGAAACTGCTGCATTCGGTCTTGTCACCATGGCCATTCATGAAGTGGGTAATGGACATCGTCGGCCCTCTACCATGGGCACCGGGTAAGGCTCAATTTATCTTATTTATGACTGAATATTTTTCTAAGTGGATTGAAGCATAGTCATACGAGAAGGTCAGGGAGAAGGAAGTCATCGGCTTCATTTGGGACCACATCATATGTCGGTTCGGGATGCCATCCAAAATTGTATGTGACAACGGGAAACAATTTATTGGCAACAAAGTGACCAAGTTTCTCGAAAATCATAAGATTAAAAGAATCTTATCGACGCCTTATCACCCTAGTGTGAACGGACAAGCCGAATCGACCAATAAAACCATAATCCAAAACCTTAAGAAAAGGTTAACCGACGCCAAAGGAAAATAGAAGGAGATCCTACCCGAAGTCCTTTGGGCATATCGCACGACCTTGAAATCCTGTACTAGGGCTACTCTATTCTCATTGGTTTATAGTGCCGAAGCTCTAATGCCAGTCGAAGTCGGGGAGCCAAGTATCAGATTTCGATATGCAACAAAGGAATTAAATGATGAGACCATGAATACGAGCCTGGAGCAATTGGATGAAAGGCGTGAAATAGCCCTTGTTCGATTGGCTACTCAAAAGTAACGGATCGAGAGGTATTATAATCGAAGGGCCAACCTTCGATATTTCAATATTAGGGACTTATTACTAAGGAAGGTCACACTAAACACCCGGAACCCGAAAGGAGGAAAGTTGGGTTCGAACTGGGAAGGAACGTACCAAATTTTTAAGGTCACCGGAAAAGGATCCTATAATCTCGGAATGATGAACAAGAAACAACTATCGAGCAACTGTAATGTAACCCACCTAAAATGATATTGCTGCTAAGGTACGACCCTATTTATTTTCTTTTATTTTTCGGACTAACAATTGCTGGTGATCGACAAGGAGCGGCACGAAGTCTTTAGGTCTGAAAGCACACATTGTACTCTTTTTCCCTTGAACCGATTTTGTCCCAAATGGGTTTTCCGGCAAGGTTCTTAACGAGGCAACAGTGGATTCTGCTAACTTAGAATTAAGGACCGATCACGAATTAGTGCCAAAGCTGGCATTAATAGTATCCGAGTTTCCTCTACAATTAACCTCGAATACTAGGGGGCATCACCCTCGGATGCCGACGTTAGCAAGGAAAGAAACTTCGTAGCTGAAGGGTATCGATCAGTAGGATATATTGTAAGGGCCAAACGGTCAAACGAACCGTCCTCACATAGGTTGATCGAACCCTAACACAAAGCATGTATACATATGTTACTATCTTACACAAAAATAAAGAGAAGTCTCTTCCTAGCAATCATCTTATAACAACAACAACAACCCAGTAAAATTCCATAGTGGGGTCTGGGGAGGGTAGAGGGTACACAGACCTTACCCCTACTCCAGAAAGGGGTAGAGAGGCTGTTTTTGGGAGAACCTCGGCTTAGAGACAATAGATCTGTGACAACAAAACCCGAAAAATAATATCAGCAACATGAGAGACATCAAATAAATGAAAAAGCAGTAACACAAATATTATGCAAGAGTGTGAAACACAACATAAATCACTAGCAGTGCTAGACAAAATACTATCATACTCATCGGTACAAAGAAGGAAATCAGGACAAAGAAGAAAATCGCTCGGCAACCCTTTAACCTACAACCCTAATGCTCGACCTCCACACCTTCCTATCAAGAGCCATGTCCTCGAAAATCTGGAGCCACGCCATGTCCTGTCTGATCACCTCACCCCAATACTTCTTAGGCCACCCTCTACCTCTTCTCATGCCTGCCAAAGCCAACCGCTCACACATCCTAACTGGGGCATCTAGGCTTCTCATATGCATGTGTCCGAACCATCTAAGCCACACTTCTCGCATCTTGTCGTCCACTAGAGCCACGCCCACCCTCTCCTAAATATCTTCATTCCTAATCGTATCCATCCTAGTGTGCCCATACATCCATCTCAACATCCTCATTTCTGCTACTTTCATCTTCTGGATATGTGAGTTCTTGACTGGCCAACACTCAACCCCATATAACATGGCCGGTCTAACCACCGCTCTATAGAACTTACCTTTGAATTTCGGTGGCACACTCTTGTCATACAGGACTCCAGACGCTAACCTCCATTTCATCCACTCCACCTCAATACGGTGCGTAACATCCTCGTCGATCTCCCCATCTCCCTGGATAATTGACCCTAAGTACTTAAAACTTTGTCTCTTGAGGATGACCTGCGAGTCAAGGCTAACTTCCACATCTGCTTCCCCCGACACGTCGCTGAACTTACATTCCACATATTCCATCTTAGTCCTACTCAACTTGAAACCTTTAGACTCCAGGTCCTGCCTCTATACCTCTAGTCTCCCATTAACGCTGCCTTGCGTCTTATCAATCAAAACTATATCATTAGCGAACAACATACACCATAGAACCTCTCCTTGTATATGGTGTATCAGTGCGTCCATCGCCAGGGAAAATAAGAACGGGCTGAGTGCAGATCCTTGGTGTAACCCCATAACCACCGGAAAAGGCTCTGAGTCACCTCACACAGTCCTAACCTGAGTCATAGCTCCATCATACATATCCTTTATCGCACTAATGTAAGCCACCAACACCCCTTTCATCTCCAAACACCTCCTAATGACGTCCCTAGGGACCTTGTCATACGCCTTCTCTAGGTCAATAAACACCATATGCAAATCTCTATTCCTATCCCTATATTGTTCCACCAACCTCCTGATAAGGTGGATAGCTTCCATAGTAGAATGTACCGACATGAACCCAAAATGGTTTTTCGATATAGACACCGCCCTCCTCATCCTCCCTTCCACCACCCTCTCCCAAACTTTCAAGGTATAACTTAGTAAATTGATACCCCTATAGTTGTTACAATTCTGGATATTACATTTGTTCTTGTACACGAGAACCATTATTCTAGCAATCACCATATATTTTAAAATTTTCTTCTTTACATCCCTTAAAGAATTTCATACTTCCAATCTCCTAAAGGTAACGAGCTCAAGGGTCGCTTATAACCGAAGTTAGA